AGGTGAACTAGCGCAGCCTGCCCACCGGGGTCTTGCGGGGGGTGCGCATCCACTTGCCCCAATTAGGGGAGAATTGGGGGCTTAGATGATGTGAAGAGGGGCAGCCACTATAGCTCTTTTGCCTTGTCACTCCACAATTTCCCCATTTCCACCCCCCACCCCCAAATGAAAACCACTGCCCCTTGTGGTCAGTGTTGACCTCATGGCTTTGGAGTGAGTTACCACAGACAAAGTAATGACACCATGTTGAAGAACCATCCAATCCATTGGCTTGGCCTAGCTGACTATTCAACTCCTGGAGATTCCTGTCCAAGGCTGGACATCCTCTGCCTCAGTAACCAGCTTAATTGGAAGAAAGGACTACATTTATATAACGCCTTTCACATCCTTGGAATGTCCCAAAATATTTTGCAGCCTTCTTTCTTTGCTGTTTCTCTTGTAATATTTAGCAGTCAGTTTGCTGCTTGCTATCAGCAATCTGATTAGTTGATTGGTTTTCAATGTGGGAAATAAAATGCCACTCAGGATCCAGAGAACTCGTGTGCTGTTCTAGCCATGCCGTGGACCCTGCTCAATGCCTTGATCGAAAACAGCACCCCAATTAGTCTATCAACGTAGCACACCATTGTCGAATTTGACTACATAGATTCAAACCTGAATGCTAGGGGCTCTTGTGCAGTGATAGGTTGTTTAGAAAAATAGGTCAAACCTAAAGCCTTGGCCCTCTTGTGGTGCAGTACTAGAGTCCCCACCCTTGGATTGGTGAGGCTCGGTTCAAGTCCCACCTGCTCCAGAGGTGTGTAATAACATCTCTGAACAAGTTGATTATGGAAAAAAGAAAAGAGGTCAGACTTGAACCCTTGATCTTCAGAGTTGGACAGGGATCACACCCAACTGAAACAAGAATAATAGTAAAACGGCCTTTGACTCTCTCAGTATTGTACTCGTTATACGGTCTTTCCTTCTCCTGTACCCAGCAGCTCTTTACAATGCAGGGGTCATCCACTGGGGCATCTCAGTGTCATTCTTGTTCCCTCAAGCTTGACCCATAGGTTTCAGTCAGTCACTTAGATTGTGGAATGAGGACATTAAAAACATGAGGCCTCTGTGTGCGAGCTAGAGGAGTCTCGTTACTGAGCTGCTGGCTAATCTGAATGGAGTTTCTCATGGCAATGTGCTATCCTATGCTCGAATTCTAGGGAAATGTTGTTCACAGCTGAGATGTTTATTGTCACCAGTCATTTGAATGAATTAAATTTCCAAATATGACAGCTATTGCAGATTGCATTTGGAAGCAGTGATTTTTTTTTATTTTTGCAAAGACGAAACAGTCACCATTTTGTTTATGAGTATTGGACTGAATTTTAAGATTTTTGTCCTGCAGCTCCCGTTATTTGATGGAAACAATTTTTGGTTCGCTTGAGGAATCTATTGACTCCGAATGTAAACTTGTTTTTGAATCAGGCTTTTCAAACTCCAGGAGGAGCTGAGTTTACAGTTGACTGATTGGCTTTCTTCATTTTTTTTTCATGGGTTTTGGGCATTACTGGCAATGTTAGTGTTTGTTTGCCCATCCTTAATTGCTGTTGAGCTGAGTAGCATCCTTGGCTATATCAGGGGGCAGTTAAGAGTCAACCACATTGCTGTGGGTCTGGAGTCACATGTAGGCCAGACCAGGTAAGGATGGCAGATGTCTCTCTCTAGAGAACTCCAGAGCTGGGATCCTGCATAACATCCAAAGGCAGTCTTATGGATGAACTATCACTGCGTTTTCATCTAACTGCCCTCTCCAATATCTGTAATTGCTGTCTGTATTTACCTGTTTGAGGAGTTTTTCTTGTATTTGATTTGATTCATTATTGTCACATGCACCAAGATACAGTGAAAAGTATTGTTTTGCATGCTATCCAGACAAATTATTCCTGACATAAGTACATCAGGGTAATAGAACAGAATGCAGAATATAGTGTTACAGCTGCAGAGAAAGATCAACTCTAATATATGAGAGTATTTTTCCTGTATAATGATGCAGAGAATCTTAAGAATGTAATCAAAAAAGCTACTCTTGCAATGCAAATGATCAGTTCAACTCATGAGTCAGTGTAGGATTCTGATCCTGTGTAGGTCAGACTGGGCTACGGGCAGCTAGTTCCTATCCTCCTGATGGAGACTGTGAACCAGTTACAGGGACAGGGCTGGTGCTTTGTGCCTGTCCTTAATTGTTCAACTCACCTTGGTGGGATTTGAACTCTTTGTCTTGTAGTTGTCAGTCCAGTACAGTGATCATTAGACAGTCAGGTAGAAGATGGTGCAAACCATATCAAATTGTTAGTTTTTGGTGGTTTCAAAAGACACTCCCATCCTCAGTGTAACCCTGTGGGTGACCAAAGACTAGCCTGGTGATAAGCCAATAGAGTTATAATCTGAGGCTTTGAGGGATCAGGGATAGATGTCAGCCTTACCAGAATGAATTGGAAAACATCTGCCAGTGTGCCCCAGAATTATCCATCTTGGTATCCTGGCATTGTGTCAATTATTGAACCTTTGTTTTGGTAGTACCTTTGAGTTTCTGAACCTAGGGAGCACCAGGCAAGGTGCATGTATGTTTTTAGAGAGGACAGGGTTTACATGTTGAGTGGGGGAGCACCCTTCCAACATTTTCTTCACTAATTCTGTGTTTGGTGGGATCGTAGTGTCAGGAATTTTTAAAATGATTTAGACCATAAGACATTGGAGCAGAAATTAGGCCATTCAGCCTATCAAGTCTGCTCCACCATTCAATCATGGCTGATATGTTTCAAAGCCACATTCTCCCACTTTCTCCCCGTTACCTTTGATCCCCTTGATAATCAAAAACCTATCTATCTCAATCTTCAATGTACTCAATGACCTGGCCTCCACAGCCTTTTGTGGCAGTGAATTCCATAGATTCCCACTCTCTGGCTGAAGACGTTTCTCCTCATCTCCATTCCAAACTATCTTCCCTTTACTCTAAGGCTGTGCGCTCGGGTCCTAGTCTCTCCTGCCAATGGAAATGCCTTCCCAACGTCCATCCTGTCCAAACCATTCAGTATTCTGCAAGTTTCAATTAGATCGTCCCCTCAACTTTCTAAACTCCATCGAGTATAGACCCAGAATCCTCAAACATTCCTCGTACATTAAACCTTTCATTCCTGGGATCATTCTCATGAACTTCCTCTGAACTCGCCCCAGGGCCAATACATCCTTCCTGAGTTATGGGGCCCAAATTTGCTCATAATACTCTAAATGTGATCTGACCAGAGCTTTATAAAGCCTGAAAAGTACATCCTTGCTCTTATATTCCAGTCCTCTCAAAATAAATGCCAATATTGTATTTGCCTTCCTAACTACTGACTCAACCTGCAAGTTTACCTTAAGAGAATCCTGGACTAGGACTCCCAAGTCCCTTTGCATTTCAGATTTCTGAATTTTCTCCCCATTTAGAAAATAGTCCATGCCTCTATTCTTCCTACCAAAGTACATGACCTCCCACTTTCCCATGTTGTATTCCATCTGCCCCACTCTCCTAAACTGTCTAAATCTTTCTGCAGCTTCCCTGCCTCCTCAATACTACCTGTCTCTCCACCTATCTTTGTATTGTCTGCAAACTTAGCCAGAATGCCCTCAGCTCCTTCATCTAGATTATTAATGTATAAAGTGAAAAGTTGTGGTCCCAACACTGACCCTTGTGGAACACCACTAGTCACTGGCTGCTATCCTGAGAAGGACCCTTTTATCCCCACCCTCTGCTTTCTGCCAGAGAGCCAATCTTCCATCCATGCTAGCACCTTGCCTCTAACACCATAGGCCCTTATCTTTCTCAGCAGCCTCCTGTGTGGCACCTTGTCAAAGACCTTCTGAAGGTCTAGGTAGATAACATCCATTGGCTCTCCTTGGTCCAACCTGATCATTACCTCCTCAAAGAATTCTAGCAGATTTGTCAGGCATGACCTCCCCTTGATGAAGCTATGCTGACT